CTACAGTAGCCCGTTGATCTGCAGAAACTCAAAGGAAAAGATCTCGCACCTGACAGCTTTCTTGTATATATATCAGTTCATCTGTTGCTGTGGAGCCAGCCAGGTACATCGGTCGTTCGACGCATATCCTGTTAAATAGGGTCAAAGAACACTATCCAGCGCGGCTGCAGAAAGGAAGTAGTGGCTGCATAAGGAGTGCAATAATGGAACATCTCGTCACCACTGGTCATTCCATCTCAACAAACGCCTCCTGCTCCAAAGTAATCTACAAAGTGGCGAACAACCTGTCACAGACAATACGTTTCCGTCTTCTTTGCATCGCAGAAGCCTTAGCCATTTAGTTGGAAGAACGAGAACTATACATACAAAAGAAAATTATTCAACCACTTCTACTATCATGGTAACAACTCTGTCGATTTGAGTTAATTTTTGCTCGTTTGTTTGTTTTTCTAACTATTTAAAACTCTTACGCAATTTCGTATTTTATTTTGTTTCCATGTACGCCCTGAACACAACTCTTTCATCAAACTATCCATGTTATTACGTGACTCTTCTCTAACAGTGGTTTCTAACATCTCATCACTTTTGTTACTACCCTCTTATATCAACATCCAATTCATCTGAACTTACTAATTGTATATTCGTTTGGCAAATTTAATGTACACATACATACAAAATAACCATATGTATATTTGCGATTGTACAACTATGAAAATGTATTCGCCGAAAAGACACTCTTCGCTGAACTTCTGGTCTTCTGTCCATTAATGTTCGAATGGGGATTTTTCATGAATTTTCATTTCATCATCGGTTTATGGATGATACCTTTATTCTATGTGAAAACGAATTGGACAGGAATGCAACAATATCTCGATTCAATAAAGGACAACATTTCAGTTATCAAATTCAAGTGTGAAGAAGAATCTTCAAGTTAAATTGCTTTTTTAGAAGCCCCACTGACAAGAAGACCAGACAGTAGCATGGAAAGGAATTTGCATGAGAAAGGTATTTTAACCGGTCAATACTCACATTTTCCCAGCTTTGTTCCTCTTCTGTATGAAAGAAATTTGGTAAAGACCCTCAGCTATCAGTGTGGTGAGAACTATTTGTTCAGAAGATGTGAGTGAAGACGAACTTACAGCTGTTTACGACACGGTAATTGAAACACAACTCCCCTGAAAATTTCATCACTATACACACGGCCAATGAAATTAGGAAAAAAATCCCTCCTCATGTGGTGACACGAGTCTCTTTTTATATACGACTGCAATCTAAAGGCGATATACCGAGTGAAATAATAACCAACAAGTTGTGTTGCAGTTTATATTTTCTACACAACTGGTTGTGATTCCGAAGCCAAAAGACGAAGTACCTACACTAACCACCTCTTCCTGTGTCTGTCAATTACTTCAACTGCTCATGTGCAGCCATTTCTACTGGCTGTTGCTCCAGCAACCTAATTTTTTGTGCTCGACAACACCTACCAGGGTTGTTGAATAACCGTGTTGTTAAAACCACCAACAGTTCTATGTTGAAGCATCTCATCCAAACGGGCCACAAATCTGACACTGAAGAGTCCTTCTGTTGAATGAATTACTGAAGGCCCCTGGATACGGAATATTCCAAACAGTAGAGGACACCATAATTCGTCTAAATCAACCGAAGCTCTATATGAGAAAGAAATAGATCCAGCCACTATTCCTAACCTGGCCTGCCTTCAAGGCTATAAATTCAAAAATTCTGTGTTACGTACCTTAATCTCTAATATACTCAGTTTAGTGTTATATTAATGCATGTTATCTCTCTCCCTCTCCCTCTGAACTCTGTCGATATTATTGATTTAACGTGGTTTTAAACATTAATAATGCTTTTAAAACATTAATAGCAACAATTAGTACTGTCCTATAAAAAAGCCAAACTTAAATTGTCCTAAAATAAGACATCACCGGCTGAAAGCGATTACCGGTTTACACATCAAATATTGAGGCGTAATCACATTATTGAACAAAACACAGTGTCTTAATTGGAGCATCGAAAGTACAAATTACCAAATGGCGAGTTCAAGACTTCTAACGTCCTCGTTGACAACACTGTTGATACTTTATTTACTTGATAATCATTTAGAAACAAACAGGATCTAACACTTAGCTGTCAGTTCGCCTGAATTAGGCTTCTGTGTATCATTCTCAGTAATTGTGAGTAGATTGAAACTAAATATCTGTAAGTTGTTAGCTGTGCATACTTCAGATTTCGATATCCCAAGACACAGTCGTATTTTTTCCACCTATATCGTCCACTTTTATTGTCCCATGTTCCCCTCTATACATTACAGTTCCTCTTTCTTTAACATCTTCACTACGCCTACATTTTCATGTTAAAATCATCAGTCAAATGCACAGATAGTACATTTTATCTATAAATGAGTTATAACGCTCATTGTGACTACGAATTTCGAGATTGAGGCACACTGAGATTTTCTCTAGGCAATTCACGATCTGTGGATACTGATATTTAAATAGTGATTCAATAATAATAGTTCTAATGTCAACAGTCACAGTCTATTTGTCAACTGAGCAGGAATGTCGGCTTTAAATCTAAAAAGTAACAGAAGTGGCCTAGACTTCTTCTATCTATGAAAAATTCCTATTTTTATACAATTAGGGACACGTTCTTTGCTGCACCCTAAGTCTCACCTGCTCAAACACCTGTCTCTGTTTACCAAAGCGTCAAAGACAATATCCCCCTGTTTCCGACTACAGTTTGCGTTTCACCAGTTCACCTAGTCTTCAAGTGCTAAGTACACAAATCGTACCAGCAGGCCATTCATTATCTAGCTGTGGCCACGAATGCTTACCAGCGCCGTTCATAAAATGAGAATGTAGAGCAGTGAGCAGCTCAGTCCTGGAGCATTTTGTTACTTCTGGCTATGTAACAAAAGGACAGACTTCTTTCAGAGTTAGTCATGTATAAAGTACGACAAACGCATTCTAAAGGATCTCGCCTACATCGTCTTTATATAGTTGAAGCCTTAATAATCCTTATAAAGGAATCTGGAATCTGCGTTCAGGAAGCCTCCATCCAGCCATCTCTCTCAATGCTTTCTTCTCTTATTGTTTTCTGCTTCCTTCCTCGTTTTCTAAAAATCTAAAGGTATAATCAGCTCTATGTTATCCACTCTCTATATGTTTTGTAACCCACTTGAAATCTTTTCTTCCCTTGTCTCTTATCAACGACTTCTAAACGATTATTCATCAGTTAACTAATGTTAGTTGTCAACCCTCTCTTGACTACTTTAGGCCATTCCTAATTTTTGAAACATGGTTACTCTCCATGCACTTTGATTTTTGTTCTTACTAACTGACAGTAATCTTCTACCTCTATTGTCAATCTGCATTTCATGTATAAACATCCTAAATAAGTTTACAGCATGGAAGTGACTTGCGATCACTGAATGGATCAGTACACTGGCTATACATTAAGATAGCTTTGTCTGAAGATTTCATGATAAGGCTGGTTTTGTCATATACTGAAATATCATTTGTTTCAGACACCGTTATGCGAATAACTAATTGTTTACAGTTCTTGCTATGAATGATAAAATTTATGCAACACTATAGCATCAACGATAGTCGAGGATGCCTTAGGTGTAAGTGATATCGTCAGCTTTGGATCACTAAGAGTTAAGAGATTGTTCCATATGAAAATAAATTCGAAATACTGTAGTGAGCCCTCCCTCGCACAATATATGACGTGTTTGAGAAAGAGTCATTAAAGAGAGTGAGACTATTCTGGAAAGTGATCGTTACCACTGGAAACTAGAAATCTCTAATATGTGGTTCAGTCGTGAAATGTTAATCAACCACGGACATGGTCGTGGGTTTAACTCTTGGATGACACACGCCTGAACATCTATTATTTAATAGTAAGGCTGGTTAATAAGGGGAGGTTAGGCGTGAGACTAGCGACCGCACTCTTTAGAAGTCACCACCATTACTGAAATTTCAATCTCCATAGCTTGATGACTTAATGTTCCACTCGGAGGGTAAACCAACGAATGGAGTATATAAAATTCCCTACAAAAAAGTAACAAACTACACTCTTCTTCCCATAAAGTGCTTGGATTCATATAACAAAAGAAGAGTTTATAACTGCAGTTGTTTCTCTCAGTATACACTTTTACAAATCACAGTTTGGATTTAGCCATTCCAGACAAATTCACCACCTAATAATGAGGTTTGGCTGTGTCATCTAAGCTGGAGACGCTACACTGTCTTTCTAGACAACACCTTCAACACTATCTTCAAGAAGATGAAGCCTCAGATTGAAATGATAGAGAAGATTTGTAGCTCAGATGGATGGTTTCCATTTGATTGCGTTCTCTGAGCTGGCTGATAAAATTGCGGAGCTTCCGTTGTCCCTCTCCTAGACAATAGATTCAGCAAAGGTTTTAGTATGAAGTGAGCTTGTTTGAATGCTCCATGAATAATTAAATTGGTCAAAGTGAGCGTTGCCTTTGAATCAGAATTGAAGAACATAAATCATCTGTGATAAGACATGACACACTGTATTCGTTCATATCAATGCATATGAACAATCACAGACGTCAATTTGATTGAAATAGTATAGAAATTTTAAAATGAGGAAACACCGAGCAAATGGCCGGGAATTCTTAGAAGTTTGGTGTGCTACTCAGATGAGTCAGCAATTATTAGTTCAACACATCACTGGAGAGCAAACTTATCAATCAATAAAAAATAAATCACCTAACAAGAAAGTTAATATTTCAAGTCGAGAGAAAATGATCAATGTAAACTGACAGCCAATTACTATAGTGACTGTCATGTGATCCAATTATATCAACACTCACGGAGAATTCATACAAGTCCATTTCTTATCACAGCCTACGCTGAAGGTGTTGTCTAGCTAAGGCATAGTGAAAGCTTTAAAATTAAATCAGCCAGTTCCCCAGAGAACACAGCCAAATTGAAGTCTCAAATTCCTCTGTATCCAAAGAAAAAGAACTCTTCCGAATTCACACATACAAGTAATATGACAAAATAAGAAAGCGCTGTTCATTCATTTAATCTACTTTCTTTAATTACATTATGAGGGTACAATTTTAGTCTTCTTCACATTAAAATACAACATCAAATTTAACAGCAAGACTTTCCACACCACATTCATCTGAACCACGTAGTATTCGGAAGAATCCTTTTTCACCCCATTGACCACCCCAACTATTTTTTATATTCCAGTAGGGTAGATTTGTATCCTGGTCAACACCATAACCAACTAGCAGTACAGCGTGGTTAGTTAACTCGAATGGATTGAATGGAGAATGTTGATTCTGTCCGTCGAATGTTTTACAATAGAAAAAGAAAGCAAAAGTGTATGTGTAAATTGTTAGGAATTGGATTGTCTTGAGACAGTCTCTTCGATAGTACTTTTCAAAATCAAATGAAATAATGGTGATGCAAAACATTTGACTTTGATATATGAAAGAGATTAATTTGAGTGTGGTTATGTCATCTAATATGTCTATTCATTAATTTGGTTGACATTGACTAGCAGCAGGATCCAGGATACAGATTCCGTCCTATTCTGGGACTCGTCATCTGGATCTACCCGCCTGTTCTCCCCATTGAGATATCCCGTCTTCTCCAGGACTCGACCTCAGAACCCCTTGTTTCAAACATGAAAGCGTTGTCCACTAGACCACTTTGACCATGGGAGCCATCTCTCGTGCAGTGGATGTCAGTTTTTATTTGTTTGAGTTAATTTCACTTTTCCCTTTAAATAATTCGACAGAAATATTAGCTTCTGTTATTATTTGAGAAGAAATGTGTGTCCTGGATTTCACTGTTAGGCGACTTACGCCAAATAACACTATGCTACAAGGTTGACCACGGATTTATATCAGTTAGAGAGTCATTGAAGACTATTTGGGAGTATTGGACAGCTGTTTCATCAGCCTAGTTTAATACTCATCGGAAGCAAGCAACCACCACAGGGACTCAAACACAAGACTAACCTTGAGGCTACCAATTAGAAAAATCAGTGGTTTATTTACAAAACGAATAGTGTGAATAACGATGAAACACTAAACAGAATATTCCAGACTGATGCGACTTACACTCTCCTTATTTTAGTGAAGATTATCAGTTTCCAAGTTAAACCAGTTACTGCGTATATGCATATATCGCGGTAACTGAAGATGAGTACGCTTTATTACCCCACCTATCGCTCTTATCCTGTTTTTCGGTCTTCAGCAAAAGTCATAGGTTGGTTGAATATGTACTATGGGTTCCATTAAGGCTATCGAAAACGATTCACTAGAAAAAGTGCACATAATAGAAATGAACACCCTAACTCGAATCCCGATCCCAACGCTAATTGTGACCCTAAACTTAAAAGTCACCCTAACCAGCTATCAACAAATTATGGAACAAAAAAAGATTGGGATGAAACTTGTGACTCAATTTGTTCATAGTGGCGCCTTAATAATGGTAAGTGGAGTCATTCAATCAATAGTATGCGTTCAAGGTTACTGATGAGTTTGTGCTGCTGATTCGCTATACTTTAACTTGTCCAGATTGGATTTATTTCAAGTATGTCCACGGATCGATAAAAGTTAGAGAACCAGTGAAAATCAGAGACTACTGGAAACTGTTTCAGTTCCGTTTGAGACTCATTGGCTGGTGGTTGCAGTAAAATCACGAATTCGTAATAGTTGGAATTCATGGATGAGTCAGTGAGTTGGTTCCCAGTAGCTGAATAGACCCGTGTGGTAAATTCTCAATTTCCGGTGAGTGCAAATCAAAATGAAGTAGCTGTCCAGTACTCCATGGTTCTCAATGTTTCAGTCAAACTTGATCAAATTTAGAACATATCAAATCCCTACAGACTAACTGGTGTAAATTCATAACGAGTTTGAATTCAACAAGTTAACTGCAAATATTCCTCATTACTTTCACTTCTCTATACACTCGACAAATACTCACTTCAATCTTTGTGTGTCGATATACACCTGATTCGTAAAAGAGAAAATCTTTGTACACTTCAAATCCAACAGGAAATGGTCCATTCTGAACTAATTCCAATTTCATGATTTCTTCATTTGTTGCCCCGTAATAACCACCAAGATAGGCATAGTTGGTTGTGTAATATCGTTCACAATGTTTACTTGTTTTACACTGACTTCTTTGTTTTCCGGTATATGGATTACACTTCTCCGTGACCATGCCGAAGTCTTCAGCATATTTACCAGCAATTAAATAAGGAAAGCCACCATCACAACCTAAAAGAGGCAAATTAAGCTTGCGTTAATCAAATCATTTTCTTTGAGTTTAAGCTATTTGAGTTATTTATTTATTTATTTATTGGTCGCCTTTGACAGCTTTGATGGCGAAGTCATCTGGAATCGACTTCAACACAGTGGAGTATAGTGCACCGAATCTTTATCAACCTCAAAAACACCAACAATTACACGAAAATTTCGCATGTCAAATGATACACAACGCCGATATCAGCGAAGCCTTATGCGGCGAATTGAGTAAGGAGTAAATCAGGCTGTGAACCAAATATCACTGGCGATGTTCCTGATTGTGGTGGACCGGATTATGTGGCACTCAGTGCTCGGGAGCGAGAAGAGATGAAATCTAGACTTCGTGGCTGATTTATATCTCATGTCACATAAACTCGAAGACTAACAGACGAAAATCAGTAAGCTGACAGGAGCTACAAAGACTGGACACTGAACAGGAAACATGAAGAAGATGGAAGTAATGAAGACAGCCAACCAACAATGACGACAACAAGCACCAATCACAATCAACGCGAGAAATTTGAAAGGCGTCACATACTTCACTTTCCTAGCCAGGCATCGTCGTTTTAACCGATGTCAAGTCAGTCACTTCGTCTGTATGAGTCGGAAACTCGGCTAGCGTGTCACCAGAAAGAGCCGACTGGAGAATTTTATCAGCAGATTAGCCCTTCGCTGGCTCCATATTGATAAGGTAAAATATCCAGCCATAAATTATTAGAAACAAAAACTCTGAGACGATCGAGCCAAGAACCTACTGGTAAAAACATATTTAGGAGGAAATAGAGGTGGGTCGGACAGGTTAAGAAGACTGTTGGGAAAGATGTGAGAAGTGATGAGTTTGGTGTTTGACAGTGACCTATAAGAGATTCGCAAAGGGTGCAAATGAAAGCCAATGGGAAACTGTGGAGCCAGTCGAAGAAGACTTCGAAGAACAGGACAAAATGTAGGCGTCCTGTTGATGTCCGATGTTCCAATTGGGACCCAAGGAAACAGTGACGATAATAATAATATAATCGTAATAATACTAGTGGTAGAATAAATAAATTATCGAAGAATATATATTCTTGCATTATTATTGTTGACTTCTTATTTTACCTTGTGAATACGGACTACAGTCCAGGATATCTTGAGGTGATAGAATAGGTTGAAGGGTAAAATTACTCGCTAAACGTAAACGAGCCTCAACTGCAGCCGTGGATGCGAATGCATAACAACTTCCACATTTGCCTTGACTACGAATAGGCGTCACTGGACTGCGGAGACCTTCAGGTGGATTGAGCCAATCGAATTCACGAGGTAAATGTTGAATAGCTGATATCATTTCCGCTGACAGATACTTCTTTGGTGCATGTATGGATGGTGATCTGAAGCGAAAGAAGAATGATAGGAAATAAATGATGCGAATCCATATTATTTCATTTACTGTAAGATACGATGGATAGTATAAGATATGTGCTATGCATTGAATACATATGACAGCACAAACTTTATTTGTGTACTATTCCTCTGGTTCAGGCTACACCTGTGAAATTTCGATAACAGTGGTTTAGAAGTTCGTTGGCCGGGAATCGAAACCTAAACCACAGTCTATAAGTGGCCCGCAGTTTACACTAGAAACACTGATACTCTGAAATTTCGAATTCAAGGACATTTAATTTCACAGTTAATACACACTGAAGCATGTATGAGATGAAATAATTTATTTTTCAAACACTCTCTGCCATCTCTTGAGGGATCGTCGCCGTCCGATGATGAACAGCCGCAAACTAGGACGAAACAGCTGTCCGATGCTCTCAGGTGCTCCGTCGTTCTCTAAACAACAGTGATTAGTGACAAAAACTACCTTGAATAAATTTATTATAAACGGAATGTAGTTGATTTAAGTTGAAAAACCGCTGAAAGTTCAGCCGCATATGCATAACAATGAAGTTACTATGATACTTAACGCATCAAGATTCTAAGTATTTACTGGAAAATTACAACCTTCATTACCTTAAATACGCAGACGCTGTGCCACCAACTCGACGTCTCATTTCTCCAATTGTATAGCTCAAGTATTCTGGATACATTTTCGCTCTCCAAGAGTTCTGTTGTCTATTGATTTCATCCACAAGGGTAGGATCAACTGTGAACATTCTGTTTTCGTCAATTTCTTCACCAGACAATTTGTAATTCAGTTGGCTGCAAATAGGAGGGAGACACTAAATGACAACATGTTTCGCTGAAATGTGAGACTTATTCTGCTGGTTTGATTTTAGCTCTTATACTCACACTCAGGTGTCGATTAGAATAAACCACTACGAAATCAGAACCACATTTAAGTTGAAACTCGCAAATTAATTCACGATTTGTAATTTACACAGTTCAAAGTGAAAGCCAAATTGTTCAGATGATAATTTCTGATCTGCTGTCCAGTGGTTTGAAATTCTCATCAATTTATAGGTGAACAATAAAGCACTCACTCCGCTTTGAATGAGGCAGCTTTACACATACCAATCAAGCTAACAGAAATTAACTCATATCTTTTGACTTGCGTTGAGACTTCCTTATCTGGAAACTCCAAATTTATGAAAGTTCGTTTTAATTTGGCGGGGCGTATCACTCAGTTAATAAATTTCCCGTTAACGACTTCTGAAATAGAAGTGGCCGCCTTACACTGGTAGATATTCTTCTGAATAAAAGAAGAACAACAGAGGTTTGTCTAGAATAAGATGCCACCATTATTTGTTTCATTGCCTACTCCTCATCAGCTGCCTGCAGACTAACCAAATTGTTGAGTATATGTGCAGAACAATTTTGACACACTTGCAAATGTTACTTGGTGTCAGTGAGTTGCAGGAGGCAACAAACCTAATCAACAGTGCCAGTTTCGAGAAGAACAAATGTTTGCATTCAATGTTTATGAAGTTACGTGATAAAGACGTGAGGTGAGAAAGACGATGTGTAGGTGAAACATTGAGTAGCAGTAGGGTGAGTCCAGTCCAACTCATAGAATCAAGAGACAAGTGAATTCCCAGTGTGTAAATGGAGGAGATTTTAGAGTAGAAAATTACGCAATAAAATGAAGGAGACAGAGGTATAGAGAGAGGGAGTAGAGACATCCAACTACCAGGAATAGAGAAGACTGATAACTGCTTCTCTGTGAATACATTAATCAGGTGTTAGGCATCTGATAGAGGATGCTTTGGCTAGCTTTGTTTAAACTTGAACTCTAAAGGTGAAGACTTAATAAGTGTAATTGTCTGAGCACTGTTTATTGAGTCTGCAGCCTCCTGTCAACTAACACCATGTAACATTTAAAAGTCTGTTGAAATTGTTCTACGTACAGACCTAATAATATTTTTTAGGCTGGCGTCAACTTATGAGGAGTAAACAACGAAATAAATGGTGGTACCATCTCATTCTACACATAGTACTGTCATTCGGGCTTTATTCAAATTCGTAGAAACGGGAATAAATATGTGGAAGATATGTCTTTCTTGTGTGCATTCTACAGTTTTCAAAGTTGGACAGATGATTCAGTAACTGCTGTTGTAGACTTTCTTCATCCTCCACTGAGAGTCAAGAGATATCATGATCTTTTAAGTAGTACAACAGAAACCAAATCAAATCCAAGGAGCACTGGATACCACTCTTCTTTCCAGTTCGTCACTTGCCTACAGTGCCCACCGATGATACTACCACAGGTTGAACTCAATATCACCAAATTACCTGACAAATACCTCTACTTTCATTAACTATCTAGGTGATATTGGTTTAGTTTGGAAATTTATTAAAGCCTGTATAAACACTAAATCTGCAAACGTGTATGTGAGTCAACTAACAATAGAAGACGTGCATGCATGCATGCGTAGAAACACTCACAAATACACATTCAAATCAATAATATTAATAATACTCACCTTTCAGTCTCACCAAGTTTCGAAGCAGTGAAACAATACCATTGACGGATTAACGTGTCATGTGTCCACATAGGCATCGATTTATGACAATTAAACTTCGATTTCTTCTCATAGTGAAACATAACTAACCACTTTCTATGATTGATAATAATTTCAAAGCCCTTTATGTCACAAATGAATACAAATCGTGTATTACACATGCATATACATATATGAGGACATTACTTGATTATATATCAGAGTCCATTTCCCCATATTCCCATAAGAATCAGTCACAATGTCTGGATATTGTATCTTCATAGTCACAACCCTTTTAGGCTTAACTACAATTGACAAGTAGAAAATTAGTATGATTATACAAGAGGAGAATAGTAATCATCATGAGAATAGTACTCACATTTACTGGGGCATTTCGACTTGTAATCGCCTACATAAAACACCCATTGACCAATTGCATCCGAATAAGAACAGTTCGCTGGTGTATCTCCAAGACTTTCTTCACATAACAACAATACTAATAGGATTGTGAAGCTTATTGTGCTGAAGGAGATTAGAGATTTGAACATTCCTCTGAAATAGGGAATAGGAAAATAAAAGACAGAAAGTGTCAACCTTGAACACACTTTCAAAGATAGCTACGTTAAATGTACAATGTTTGATTTGTTTTAGTCACCTGATAGACATTTTAAAGGACGTGGATGCATTTTTGAAATCCTTCAGTGTAGAAGGCATTATTTTTGAAATTGGTTGATATCACAATAACTTTGTATGTCTTTTGTGGGACTCTGAAACTCTACAAATTTGCACCTAATTCTATTTACAAATCAATATGGAGATATGACAATAATTGTATAGGTATTTAAGATAGACTTTGGACAGATGCCTAAATGGAGCTCAGCAAACAGTTACCAGCGAAACACGAAACCCCCTCATTCTCATTGAAATTTCCAGTGTGATCACTAGTCGTAACGTGATAGTAAATTGTTAGTCTGCACCATACAAAACTACAAAATACCAGTTTCATGAAGACATGCGTGACAAATATGCATGAAATGATGACAATGCCAACAATAAGGAATTCAGATTATCATAAGCAAGTAATACTTACATTCAGAGAAGGAACCTCGAAGAAATCTGAATAATACAGGAAGGATTAAACGTGGCTGGCATTGGAATGCACCAACACATTCATGAAGATGATTTTTCGGTCAAACGATCCTATGGTGCATATTAAACAGCAACCGCTTACTTTGTTTTCTTTTTCATTATAGATGGAGTCTGAGGTCGATAGAAGTTATATCTCGGATCACAGTAGTAACATTTGGATAACGAACAGCAACACTGACATGATTTTAGTTAGATTATCATCGGGAAATAATAATTAGCTCAGTCAGAAATATCTTACAACCATTTTTGAGTAACTTCGCTGGGGGGCACCATGTGAATTGACATGTAAGCAATATGGACAGTTTCATTGTTCAATAAAGGCCACATCCTATTTTTTATTGTTATAGGTTTTTAATGAACAACATGAATTTAAACTTTGAAATGTGTTCTTCTTGAAATTGAGAATTTGGGCCTATGTATTAGTCGCTCGGTCGAGCTATTACTATTATATTGCTATATTATTATAAACATTATATATATATATATATATATATATATATATATATATATATATATTATATAGGTCGTACCCAAAGGAGTTTATCTTTACGCACTCGTGAACATATGCCTGTTTGGCTTGGGAAAAGAGCAACCAAATCAATAAATAGTGCAATACTGTCCCATCTAGTGGAAAGCGAACACAGTATCAAAATAGATGAGTCACTTACAGTTGCGTATCGGGTACCGAACAATCTCCCCAAAGGCACACGATTACGCCTCCTAGCCATAGGTGAGGCTTTAGAGATTAATAGAGAAAGACCAGACCTATGTGTACAGAAAAAACTTATTCACTCTCTTTGTCTACCCTGGCCCACTATAAGGTCACCAGGATCATAATTTTTTCGTACTATTATTATTATTATTATTATTTTGTGATATCATGTCTTTATTATCCATTTCTCCACCCAGTTCATTTTACCTCATTGTTACTCTTAATTTTTGTCAACCTCTATGATATTACAATAAGCCTACTAATTATGTAGCATCTCATTACAATTTCAGATTTAGTCTCTTTAATTTATCATTAGACATCATCGATCAGCCCTCACATTCAGTGTCCCCTTTGTTGATGTGTGTTTGTATGTATTTAGTGGTTATCGCATTACTCTCACCCCAAGAACGCTTGTATTCTGTTGACTATAAAACAGCACTATGTTACCCAATTGTTCATTCACACTTCATGACATTTTTTCTGATTATACACCCGACACACAATTGACTGACTATGTTAACTAATGGACTATCATCTCAACTTACACATTCACCCCAATACAGTTTCTGATATTATTTTCACTCGCCTATATTGCCTGGCTATATGTACTTTATTATTCATGGATTTCTAACTGTGGAGCCTGAAGAAGAAGTTATCGAAAACATATGAGGACCATATGAGGAAATTAATAAATCAATAGACACAGTTATGAATAAAGTTAAGAAATCCACAGCGGACCTTATACGCCGAATGAAGCCGTTTCTAGGTGAGTCTAAGTGGTTTAATTTAATGCCAAAAACTAATAACCCCAGTAGGATGTATGGTGTTGTTAAAATTCATAAATCAGGATACCCTATTAGGCCTATAGTTGATTTTAGAAATTCACCTACCTATGAATTATCTAAATATTTAGCCATGGTATTAAATCCCCTAAAAATCCACTCGAAATCTAGATTAACTAATTCTTATGAACTAAAACACAGATTAGATAATTTAAAATTAGATAATGAAGAAAAAATGGTTAGTTTTGACATTGTCAGTTTATATACACGTATACCAATAAATATGGCTATAGAGGCGGTCAGCAACGAACTCATTTCTGACCAAGAACTCGAACTTAGGACAAAAGTGCCAATTGAGGACATAATGCTGGGAGTGCAGCTTTGCCTGACTTCTACAGTATTTAAATTCCAAGGGAAAATATACAAACAAACTGAGGGAGTTGCCATGGGATCACCAATATCCCCAGTAGTAGCAGATATATTCATGGATAGGTGGGAAAAGATAGCGATTGAAACGTTCACCCCCACCCCAAAAGTATGGTGGAGGTATGTAGATGACACATTCACTGTACTTAGAACACAAGATATAGATAGATTTTTCGAGCACATCAACTCGAAGGTAGAGGCAATTCAATTCACTTATGAATTGGAAAGTCAGGAAGGGGAACTTCCAATGTTAGATTGCAACGTAAAAAGGAAAGAAGATGGGAAGCTAAACACCAGTGTTTACAGAAAACCCACACATTCAAACAGATATTTGGATTTCCGATCATCCCATCCTATGTCAGTAAAACTAGGATTAGTGAAATGTTTAAATGACAGAGCACAAAAACTAAGTAGTACCAAGGAAAATCGAAGACAGTAAGTGATACACATAAAAGAAGCCTTGAAACTTAATAATTACCCTGATAAATTAATCAAGAAATATGTAAGTAAATGTAAAAATAAAATAAATAATGATAATAGTGATAGTGGTAATAATAATAATATTAATGACGACACCAACAATAAGGAAGCTAAATCATCAACAGTAATTCCATACAAGGAAGGAACCTCTGAAGCCTTACGCAGGATACTGAACAAGGCTGGAATAAAAGTGACATTCAAACTCACAAACTCAATTAGAAACAAGCTTTGTCGTTTAAAGGATCCTGTAGAGCCATTAAAACAAAACAATTTAGTTTATCTAATACCCTGCAATGATTGTGAGGTCAAATACATAGGTCAAACTAGTAGAACAGGGGCAGTCAGTCAGACTAGCCGAACATAAAAACCTAGCTAAATCTAGATTGGTTGACCCGAATAAGATAAGAAATCTAGAGAGTAGTTCAGCTATAGCACTACATGCAGTTACACACAACCATACAATAGGATGGGATAGGATGGCAGTTTTAAAATCTAATGTCACAGGGTATAGGGAGAGATTGATAACAGAAGCTTTGTTTATCGAATCAACTGCAAATACATGTAATAGGAATGATTCAACACCTGTCCCAGATATATGGAAAATTCTATTGCCCATACGACAAATAGGAGAAAGCAAAGAAAACTATAAAACTCAAATCTCGAAGTCGTGTGACCACAATTGATATGATTATGAACAACAAACAAACTAATATGGAAGTTATCGAAAACAACTGTTAGCTCAAAATATCGTTTTGATTTGAAGCTAATATTACCATTGTTTTTCCGTTGGCTTTCAACAGGGATATACTGGGTTGTGATGCAGAGACAGTGTGTTCCAACGGAATAATATTCTCACATATTCCCACAGTACAATACTGCTTTAGGAACAGAATGGTATATATATTTTAACATTCTATTTCACGTCGTTTAATGTAGGCAAAATTTGCAGGCGCAATGACTGGTTCCTTGTCTTGTCTTCTGCTGCTACAATACGGCTTCAACAACACATTTCCAATTTGTTCTCTTCTACTGAAATCACGATTGCCCACAGTCTCTTATCTCCCGATACGATCTCCTCCATGTTACAATAGGACACCCAACTCATCTTTTCGACTTCGCGTTCCAATACAGTGATAGCCTGATGGGTGATGTCATGCAACAATCTCCTCAGTGTCTTTCCAATCCATCTATATTTTCTTCATCATAATTGTTGGATGAAAAGTTCTTTATCGATTCGTTACAAAAGTTTTCCTATTGCTTATTCTTTCTGGCCATCTCATCTTCAGTGTGGAGCCAGCAGCGACTGAGGCGGCCGTTGATAAAAGTCTGTAGATGGTGGCTATTGGAAATGCTTTTCGTGACGCTCTAACCAAGTTTTCGATCCACAAACATAGGAGAACTGACTGACTTGACTATGGTATTGCAAATCCGAATTTGATTGATTATTCTGCTGAGTGTTGAGAATATCTCCAGTCTGAGTAATGGAGGTCACTCTGTCTCGCCTCTCCGATTCTGGTTCAGATGTCCACATCCATGCTATCGCCTATAGTTGAAAGGGTTCTGCCTGGCCGGATAGTAAAGGAAGTGACCTCTTTCAGTTTTTTCCCGTTGGTCTTGATCGCTGCATTGTGTTGTTGTTGGTGATGGTCGTAGTGGTTGACAGTCTTCACCAACTCCATCTTCTGGGTGAGACCTTCAAGTTCACCTAAGTACATAACCAGTGTTTTGGAATGATTCAACTCCCTGATCTCAGTCCGACCGGATACACCATTGATGAGCTTGAACCCCAGAGAGCTAAACAACCATTCAAAATTTAGATCCTTTCAGTGTGACAACCAACCACTACTGGTTGATGATATAAGTGCTATCCAACTACTGATTTAAAAAAGTTAGTAGTATGTGCGAATGTGCAAATATGCTTAGAATGTTCGACGAGACTGTCTGGAATAGATATGACATAGCGAAATGACACTGACGTGATGATTCCTAGTAGGATTCGAACTAGTGACCTTCGGGTAGTAATCTAGAGACTGGAGGTTTGAATCCTACTCATATAATGACCACACAGATTGATATCAAACAAAACTAGGGATCGAAATCATAAGAGGTATGTTGAGTGAAGTGTTTCTTTCCTCTCAAACTGCTAATCAGTTAGTAATTCTATTTAAACATTATTATTATAACCTTATGGATATTATCACCAATACTAGCTTGCTTAAAACTGTACACAGGTTTCCGCGGATATTTTAAAACGTGAATTATAAGGAAAGTGAAATGTTAAGTTTAAACAGAGAATTTACAACAAATCAAAAGTTACATATGAAACAAACAGAGAACACCATTCAAGTAGACAAATGCGAATTTTCGGTAATTTCTCATCAGGCTTACTACATTTACTGAATAAAATGTCAGTCATACATAGACGCTGGAAACCATGTGAATCAATAGAATGGAATATAATCGAGGAGAATTTGAGTATGGCGATAATAATCATACTGATAAGGTCAACAAAATCCATCTTGAAATGGATGATTTACAGTTTAGCTGCTTCCGTGTGTTTCCTCTCAGAGGATGAATGACAAATCACTGGCCAGCTAGACACCATGCATTCTGTAACTTTCGTGATAATTCCCTATCGAGGATTGAAGGGTTCCAGTTAGAACGGAACTATTTTGAAAACTACATTTGAAACTCTTCACAACTAGATTAGACAAATACCTTCTCACCATACAAAAGTGAAAACGTTATTCAAGGCTTTTTATTTGCCAGCTTATATTTTCAATCCACGACAGATAGTTTGTTTGTGATGAAATTCATGAGAAGAAGTTACCTGTCCTTCTCAGAGGTGTCGTTATATAAGTGGAAATCATTTGTCAAAGGTATCAAGATATAATCTTAGTATTACAGGAGAGAAATTCAATTTCAGTAGAAAAATTACTCAAGGTTTACTCACCTGAATGTGTAAAAATGTAAACTGTGTACACCTATGTGAAGGCAATCAGCTAACAGTATCTATTCGGCTCATCCATAGCACATATATATTTGTCTTCAGATTGACCTTTGATTAGCCCGTCGTGAATACAGACAGCACAATCATCAATTGGCTCATTTATTTTCTGTTAACTATGTGTACTTTTAAAGATTAAAGTTTTTTTGATATTGAACACTTAAGATAAGTTTAAGTGGTCAACGCTTAGGTAAACATACACAGTGGTCAGAGTTGTAAGGCAGTATTAATAAACTGCCAAAGTAATTTGATTACGAAATCTATGAGTACCACTTATTCACAAATCAAATCATATTATTACGTAGGAGGATCGAGGCCATATGTGCTATCTTGACTTGATGATTGGTCCAAGGTATTACTTACTCTGGCTGAAACGAATGTTTCTGAGGGTCTTAACATGCTAAAAATGTTATTTGGATGGAAGCTAGACTAAGAGCGGAAACTGTCTTCGCCTAAGATGCTCACACGATGGTGACGTGTCTGATAGCGAAGTCTTATTGTTGGCGGACAGGGATGCAATATGAGTAAGATATTCATACCGACATATGTGTGATAAACGCTAGGCAGTTCTTCACACAGCCCTGAGGTAACGCAACACTAAAACTCTTCATATTTCAGTTATTTCAAGGAGGAGTCATCTTCCATGGTGTAGGCAGTTTGACCTTAATAAACAACTAAACACATGATTTCATAAGCGATCCGGAGGATTGAAAAGTGTTTACAAAATTAAACCAGAAATTTGCCGTAATATACAAATATGTGTTGAATAAAAATCCATGGAAGTTGGCGATTCATCTATGTGATTGCGTTTCAAATGAGAAAGTGCTTCCGGAGTATTATTAGAAGGAAACTACAAAAGATGCATACACTGCAGCCATCGGAGAAAAGTCAGAGACACTACGTGGCATCAATGAGAAAACACTGCGTGTAAGAACATTGGAACTCTCTGCATGTCACGTTGGAGGAAACGTACATGGAGGTTTATTGACGAGAGAACATACGAGACAAGGAATAGCTTTCTACGGACACTTGGAAGCTAATAAAATAGAGGAGGATGGTGAGACAAAAGACGACTCAGTACACGAATGGTGAAAATAAAGGAGTAGCTAAGTTCATTGTACACTGCAATGAATAAAGAATTGAGGTAGAATCTCAAGAGAGATAAAGACGATGGCAAATGAATCAGAACATATCACATGCGACACAGTCCTCAGAACATTATATCAGATAATAACGTCTCTATCCGGGATGAGATGAACACATATGATGAAACCGAAAATAGATGGTCAAGGGAACATAATCATGAAAGAGAAGAGGTAGAGAAAATAGTGGGCTCATCCCTTCGAAGGACTCTTCAATTTACCATGACTAACATGTCGACCGGGAATACTATCAACTGTTGGCGTCAATCCTAAAAACGAATACAGAAGTCTTCAATGCACTCAAGCTACTGAAAGTCAGCCGGGGAGTCGGCAAAAGCAGATGGAAATCCTCCTGAAGCAATGAAAATGGGTCCAATGACGGTAGAAGATATGCCCACACCACTATTGTAAAATATTTGGAGGGAATTAAAGGTACCTACAGATTGGAAAAATGGCTATCACTTCATTTTGCCGAAGAAGGTTAACTGAGCCCTCTACAAGAACTGGCACACGATCATGCTGTTGTATACGCCAAGCAAAATGTTGAGTTGCGTCATCCTGCAGAGACTCAAATATGCACTGCATGCACAACTCCACCGACCGAAAGAAACGCGATTCAGGAAAGGCAAATCATGTGCTGATCAAACAGTACCCCCATGTAACATCATAGGACAGAACATAAGATAGTAGACAAGTCTCTATGCCAGATTAATCCACTTCGAAAAGGCCTTCGAAAGCGCTGATTGTGAAGTAATTTGGAAACTACTTCAACAATTTCCAGTGCACTGCCCCAAATCTTTATCGACCTCATTCAACAGATATATCTTAATGCCACTTGTCAAGTTTTTCACAATGGAAATCTCTTAGTGAAGCCTTTCAAATGAAGACAGGAGGGAGTAAGAGAAGGTCGTCAACCTACTGTCACCACCAGTGAAATTCCTAATTGTGGTGAACTGCCTTATGCTACAGACAGTACATAGGAACGATAAGACAGGAATCAGTTGGACTAATAGGTAATTGAAAGAAATCAAAGAAATGAAGATATAATGGAGTATGAAAGACAAAAGATATCATAATCCATTCACCAAAAGGAACAGTGGACTAGAATTCCCAAAACACAATAATCTCTACAATATGAAGGAAATTTCCAAGTGTTGGTTTGCTGGGATTCAACTGATTTCAAGATTGTTCGTGAAGCGAATTCAGTTGGCTAGTGGTTGAAAACCAAAGAGTCGTGGACAGCTGCTTCGTCCTTCTGGTGAACTATTCCGTAGTAGGCTTTCATGACTCCACCATGGATGGAATTCTGGAACTTCATCTTACAAGGAAAGCTAGTAGACCACACAAACACTGGAGAGGGAGGATCCAACCACAGATTATTTCCTAACTTCTGCCGATTCTCAGTGCTCTACAGCATCGTTTGCGAATATTCATCCTTACACTCAACTTGTGGAATTCTTCTCGAAGCTTCATCGTGTAGCCAGTAATCAGGGAGCATCAGACCAATCGCCGAGTGTTTGAAGGAACCTGACACTGACTGTATTCTATTTTACAAGCCTAAATTATTTTGGAAATTGATGTGTTACTCGGCAGTCACATCTGTCGCCATACATATGACCATTTGTCACACCAGGTTTGTGAGGGTTAATGATTCTATCTGACCCCTTGAACCCTACTAAGTACAGCCACGTCAGGTCATGTGACCTGATATTTGGAAGTTGAGCTGTTAGTACGCTTATCTCTAATTCAACTCCTGTCATAAACAGATATCTATGGATATCATTAACATAAATCTTCTTTGATTTGATACATGAATACTTCAGTCCAATCTGGAATATTAGTCTTTTCAATCTCTTTCTCTCTTACACGACTGACAGGTGCTTCATACAGACATTGAATAGAATGCAAAATATTTACAAAATAAGAGTAGTCGTTCAGCGAAGAACTTCTCTTTTAACAACATTCCTGCATATTCTGTAGATGACTCGGAAGTTGGTTTGTGGGTTAGCTCGGTGAACAGATTCAATCAGGTGTTCCAGGTTAGAGGTTCATGAAGTAGGGGAATCAATCTTTTTTTTATAGGACCATGATGACAAGTGTTCGGTGATAAGCATAGAAAGCAAACGCCGGATATGGTCAAAATACTTTGCTGCACACGCGCAGTTAAACTGTTAGATACACAATGATGAGGCTAATCAGCAATGGTAGCTTATCCTCCACTTTCATACAGGTGATCGGTCTCGTGGAGAAAATAAGCCGCGAAGAAGGCTATCTACAATCAGTAGGTGGAAGAGGTGGTTTCCCAGAATTTCTGCTGACGAGTCTCCATTAAATTGTAGATTGAAGTGAAGAAGCTGTCGAGAGCAGATAGTATGGGTGGATTTATTGGCTTTCGCTACACGGATTTTGTGACGAAAAGTTCCGGTGGATTCTTCTCAGAGTGTTCAGCTCCACTTCCATAGTGTCACTTCTGGAAATGCATCAGGTGCTGTGTTACAATGAACGGATCAGGTGCTGGACAGCTGCCTCGACTTAGTCTGAGTCTTATCGTAGTACTCCCTAAGCCCCAGGGTTATAGCCTGTGGCTTTTCATTTCAAAGAAAGCCCATAGATTATTAAACCATTCGGACACGACTTCCAATGGAACGCCTGCATTTCAGTTGTTATCTGGACGCTATCAATCCGCGGTCATACCAGAGACAAATCGAATTTCCACAAGATAACTCTGTTGAATTAGTCTGATGGTCGGTAGTGACTATCTGGCTACAGTACGAAGTTGATTAGAGTTCAAGTGTGAAGTCTTGATGAGATGTGTTCATCACAAAAAAGGTGAGAAGGAGTATTCTCCACCGATGGCATTGGTTGGTGCCAGTCACTCTAAAATCACAAACTGTATAAGGTAAGAATTCATTGACTGGGTATTGAGGATTAGGACGCCACTGCCTGAGTGGTCTGCGATGTAGATCGCCTTGTGATTAGAAGATCATGATTTCGGTCTCAAGTGAATGCGTACTGTCGACTATTCCCAAAATAGTGGAATTATATAGTTGTCCAGTACTCCCCACTGGTTTCACTGACTCTCTAAATGATATCAATCCATGGTCAAACTCGTAATATAGTTCAATCAAATCGTAGCAAACATTAAAGGAGGGGAAGTCCACAGTACTAGCTGAACACTGTTAGCACATTTCATCTTAAAGCATTGAGTAACTGTCTATGTTGCTTAATCACAGTAAGTTAGTTCCATAAAGTTTGATGAATCTCATCCACTTTAAGCTATTTTAATATACATTTTTTTCTCTTTCCAATATATTCAGATCATAATTTTTTATTGTTATAATTGTTATTATCCTTTTGTTATAAACTTTAATATTCGAACTATGGTCTGATTTATTTATTCTCTGAGTCACTTCTGATAATCAACATAAATCATACGATTTTAGATTGTTTGAATGGTGCATAGTCCATTTGATCAAATTCACAGAGTAAGAAAAAATATCGAACCATCAAAATGCATCTAATTTTGTGGTTGAATATATTCCTTTGCATTCCGAGTGGGACATACACCTGAAAGCTTTAATCTTTGAAGATTCAGTAGAGGCTGAGGTGTAATTTTTCCTCGATGGAATCAATAAGTTCACAGTGAACCCAACTTCGTTTCCGGGTTGTCTGTAAGTTAGAAAATATGGTGAAGTTCAGGAATGTGTTGACTGAGAGCCAAATCTGGACGACGATGTCGTAGGTTGATGATGGTGAGCATTCTAGCAAGAAATCACCGACATATAAAAGAAAATATGTGAAGCAAATACGTGGAATGAAGCCGTGCTGGATACACCAGTTTTATACCATGTCGTCTGTTTGGTCTGTGATTGTCGTCAAGTTATTACGGTATGTTAAGACTTTTGATGAACAAAGAACAAGTAGGAGAAGAGATCGAATATGCTGATAGCAGATATTCTGTCAATAGCGCGCTTGATGGAGTGATCACGGAGGCAGGCTTCAGTTAAGACTCATTTCAAGATTAGATTAAGTGGAGAACAAGAGGAAGATACTGGTAAACCATACTTTC